CATACACACCAGACAGGACTTGAAGGCTTTTACCTTTATCCCAGAGCAGAAATCACAGGCCACGTCTTCAGGTCCTGCAAAGGACTGATCAGGTGAAACAGCATGAAGTCCTACTTTCTTCTGTTCCTCCACTAACTCTGCTAACATGGTACTTTTCATCATGTCAGGCCTCGGTGTGAAGCTCTGCCTGCACTGAGGGCAGCTGTATGTTTCATGCTGCCCATTCTCCTCATCCCAGCAGTCTTCAATACAGCTCATGCAGTAGCTGTGTCCACATGGAATAGTCACTGGATCCTTCAGAAGATCCAGACAGATTGAACAGCTCAGTTTTTCTCGATCCAGCTGAATCACCTGCTGCGCCATTTCTCCTCTAGACGACAGTGAATGTCACTAAGTTTCACTCTCTGTTTCCAGATAAAAGCTCAGCTCATTTCCTTGATGTTTATTCACTGATCTGCAGTGTATTGGCTTTCAGTGCTTACATTTAATCACATGGTGTTTACACCCATCTTCTAACTGGCAGATCTGTGAAAGGGGAGGAAACAACTAATGTCTGAGCTGAATGACTCTGAGCAGGTGAAGCATCCCTTATCCAGTAAATAAAGTCTGGGTGGAGTCATAAAGGTGTGCATCATTCCAGGAAGAGGAGTGGTTTGAGAAGTGCAGTGTGTCTTTTGACCACAGCTATTGTCTACCTTTTACATAACTATAGAATTCAAATGGAATATCCAATACTACCATGACTACTACTACAACTTCTGATAATTTAACAAACTTTAACTTTTGGGGAAATGAACAGCAGAAAGTTTAGGGATCTAAGGATTCTATCAAGACACATCTTTGTATTGTGTCCATGAATACAGAGTATGCCAAGTCCAGACAGGACCAGGATGATATAAAGTAATAATACTTTCATAAAACCGGCATTATACATATTTAAATAGAGATTCTGGCGACTAATCACAAAGAAATCAATGTAATTTCACATATCAGTACTATTTCTGCCTAAAAATCAGCACAGGTCATTTGATGTTAATTGAATTAAATATCACTTACTCACATAAGGCAAGACAAGGCAAGCCAGCTTTATTTACATAGCATATTGCAAACACAGGGGCATTGAAAGAGCTTTACATAAGCAAATAAAAGCTTTAGAAATACATTTAAAAGCAATAAGCAATACAGAGTCAATAACCAACTAAGAACTAGCAAGATATCATAAAATAAGATTTTTTTTTTTATATATATATATTTTGAAATGAAAAATATAAAATTAAATTATAGCTGTTGCGCAGCGATGGGTCGGTCCTGGAATTTTTAGGCAATTCTGAGCAACCCCAGGAACCTAAGACGGTCACCTACCGCTCTGAGCTAATTGGCAAGTAGCAACTCAACAGTGGCTTCACAAATTGAGTAAGCCATTCACTGTTGTGTAGGAAAGCAGCCATCCGTGCATGGAAAGGCAGATTTGAAACCACCATAAGTGAAAAACTGGTGTTTAAAATTTCCATTTTTACATTGACTCCAATTGTTCACATTAGAGCAAAATTCAAAATGCTGTCAAAAATTCAGTTTTTGAAATAAAATTCTGAAATTTGCCACACGTCATCTGCCATGACTCTAGAATTTTGTCATCTTTTTCATGAACATTGAAGATTTATTTAGCAAGAATTTGCATGTATATGTTTACAGTACCGTTTACAGTCAAACATTTTGATGCACTGTAGGCTCAATTTTTGATAAATCAAAAATCTGAGAAACATAGTTTTTGTAGGACAGTCTGAAGATGCTCTGTAGCAAGTTTGGTGTCAATTGAGCAAAAATTGTGGGAGGAGATAGGTTTAAGAAATTTTACAGTTTTTGAAAAAAACAGAGTGAAGAACTTCATAATTTTTAATAGGTTTAAATGTACAAAAGTTTCTTGTGAAGTTGTAGCACATATGGTTGATTTGTTATGAATTTTCAAAGTTTTGAACTTTAGATGCTTGCTGTAGCGCCACCATCAGGACTATTGGCTTGAGTTTACAGCTGAGGATATCTGGCATGACACTGGACCTTTGTGCAAAGTTTGGTGAGTTTTCACCCATGGGAAGTATGATTTCCTCGGAAGAAGAAAGAAGAAAGACGAAGAATACCTAGGATTACAATAGTGTCCTGGCAGCTTAGCTGCCCAGGCCCTATTAAGATCCAAATGGAATAGATCAGAAATATACAGGAAACCCAGCCTTCCTTACACCTTGTTCCAATAATTTTTCAATACAATAGACCTTCTTTCAACTACTATTTTCCTGTCTAACCCTTCCTATCTGCCTGCTTGGTAGATGTAGCCTACAAATAAAGAGTGATAAAGAAAAAAATAAAGTCGGTTAATAGCATAGACTGTAAGGTCAATAGGCTACAGTGTACAATATTTCACTTGTTAAATCTGGATTTCCCTACTCCTGCTTCAGCATAAAGACAAGATAACTATATTTGAAGTTTTTATTTTCTGGCTAGAATAATAAAAGCACAATAAAAGACAAAATAGCAATTATTTTCAACTCATTTTTGCATTTGGTCCCTCCGGAAGTCGGAATAATGTCCGGAAGCAGAGCTCGGTGGTGTAACATTTATTTTCTTCCGCCACAGCTCGAAATATTCTTTCCTATGAACTGACCACCTCATATCTCAACATGTCGTGATAACCGTTCATTATTGCATCTAGCTAAATTCACAAAAATATGACGGGGATTTTCAGTAAATGTCACATCTCGTTTGTTTTATTTTTTACGCTCTATTATTCTGACGTTTTGATATTTTCGGCCGCGACCGCCCAAGGTAAGAGACTGACAGTAGCTTGTTAGCTAAACAGTGCTAGCTCAACACTGCGACACGACAGTTAACGTTAACAGCTTGGTAACCGGTTAGCGTACTAACTGCTAATTGTTTTAAATGTCAGGAAGCTAGCTAGTCGTCTTGATGTCGTGTTCACGTATAAACCACATCGTTTTGACAGTTAGCTTTAACAAACGAGCCCTGTTCATTGCTCCAAAGTTGTGGCTGTTATCACAAGTCAGTAGAGCTGTTGTAACGCTAACATTACCCTCATAACCAAACGTTTGTAAACACAATTCGTGTAGCATATTAGTTTAAAAGGTAGCGATGCACTCTCGTTAAATATCATGCACATTTTATTTAAAACATACTGGTAAAGAAGAGCAACAATTTGGAGAGTTTTATGACTTGATTTTATTGGAGAGATCTAGCTCGAGCTAATGTGACATTAGTTAGATCATATTAATATCACCTTTTGCAAACATTTTACACAGAAAACTTAATGAATATAGGCATAATGCAAGGCTTCTGCGTCACTCTTAGGTAGGTGTACATTTTATTAATGGTTAACTGAATATTCGTAACTGGTTGACCTCTTCTCACCTGGTAATCAGACCAAGTTACCATTTAAATTAACCTCCGTTAAATTACTTCTCTTTGACTCAAATTGAAGATATGACTTGTGATGTAGAGATCTGGAACCAGGCCATACTTATTCAGTGCACCTCTTTTAGACTGACTCACTCACACAGCAGTTCACATGGGAGGTAACTGTCAGCTTATGGCAAAGAAAAAGAGGGCTGTAATTAGAAGTAAGAGATAATCTTCAGACAAACTGCCAAAAAGCTTAAAAGTCTTAAGCTGGAAGGACAGCCACGAGAGAAATGTCTTTTGTACTGAATTTGATCTTCATGATCTATAATTGACTTTTTTTCCAGAGAATGATGAGTCACTGGAGCTCATGCTGCCAGAGGATGCAGTGTCCGACTTGGAGAACAGCCCCAAGTTTGTGGAGTCAGAAGACCTGGACTCTCTGCCGAAGAGGCAGTTCAAGACAGCTGAGATTGCAGATGCTGTGATGGGAACCGAAGCCCCCATCGATCCATCTGACATCGAATCCCTATTCCCCAAAAATGTGAAAGACTTCCAGTCAGGCTTTTCCCCGCCTTGTGATGAGAACAGTGCCCAGTGCGGTTCACCTGCTGTGGATGCTAAAGGAGAGTCACAGGAGGACATGAGTGCCGAATCATCACAGCAGGTAACTTGCTAGGAACACTATGACATGAGTAGGAGTTGTAAATTGCGGCAAAGTGTAGGTAGAGGTATGAACACCTGGCTCAAGGGCAACCTTGGTAAAGATTCACTGGTATCTCCATATTCTCTACCAATTCTTCTGATGATAAACAACAACTGGGTGTAATGAATGGCAAAATAGTTAAGAAATACATAGTTACTACGACGTGAGCTTTTGGGACGTCAAACAGTGATTTCAAGATAGTAGAAAATACATATCCACTATGCAGTATTAACTGTATAAATAAAATATTTGTCTCTTAACATCTGTTAGTTAATTTAATCAGGTAATCCTGACCAAAAATGCATAAAATGTCAGAAGCTACAATCATGCAGAACATGTTTAAGCTTTGTCCGGGTTTAGATAAGAGCTGAAACAATTAATTAATAATCAATTATTTGATCAACAGAGAATTTATCTACACTACCATATTGATAATTGATCAATTAGTTAAGTAAGTTTTGAAGCAAAAACACTGATCATTCTTTAGTTACAGCTTCTCCAGTGTGAAGATTAGCTGCTTTTCTTTGTCTTATATGATGGTAAACTGAATGTATTTGGGTCTTTGACTTCTGGTTGAGCAAAACAAGACATATGAAGATGTCTCCTATTATCTGACATGTTATAAACCATACAGCTAATGAATAAATACAGAAAATGTTCGGTAGATAATTCAGTAATTATATAATTGTCTCACTAGTTATGATTTCTAATTTTGATTTCACTTTGAATTTGCTTATTTTCAAGAAGCATGCCTCAGCTGACATCAGTCAAAATAAACAGTGATGAGTGCAGTAGTCGTAGCAGTAGTGCAAAAGGTGACTTCTCTTTTGATGTCTACCTCCAGATCACTCTTGACATAGTGCGTGCGGACATCACGCCAACTGAGGAGCAGAACACCACAGAGACCGCCAAGACGTACAAGGTGAACTGCGATAAGAGGAACGTCACAGGAATGGACAATTTCACTGTGCAGGTCCTCAACGCTTCACAGGTAATCATGCTGCCCTCTGAGGCTCACTGGTTGAGAAGTGCCATCAACACTGTTCACATCTGAACGCTTATATTGGTAGCCTAGAAACCCAGTTGTGTATTGTTGTGTCAGCCCTAGTAAACATCATATTTTGTGTCATTGTAATATGCCTAAGACTGTTGGTGTTAAAGGGACAGTTCACCCCAAAATAAGAACTAACTATTTTCTTTTTAGCCAACTACACCTGCCAGCCATATCACCGCATAGAAGGAAGTGTGCATCTAATGGTAGCTCACCAAGCACCACTGAGCTAGCTAACATTACAGCTCAGGTGAAGAGGTTGCATTAATGTTTACATCTCGCGCTGTCATGAGCAGAAGTCTTTCGTCCATGAGTAGATGCACACTTCCTTCTTTATGGTGATGCAATTGTTGGGTTTAGTTCAGTAGAGAGAAAATAGTTCCTACAGCAAACTGCTCACAACAAGGTGTGTGGATTAACTTCAGTAACCTGATTTCTAGATAGAGACATTGCTGTTGAGATTTACAAATGTTTTTTTCTTGGCGCTTTGAGCACCGCAAGCCGAGCGCCATCTAGTTTCATTATATTTGAGAGAAGGCAGACATCTTGATTTACCTTTTTTGTCTTTCATTTTAGCTTTTCTGCAGTATTTCCTCAATGCCACCACCACCTACTTTGTAAATGACATGATCTGACTGTGCTGATGATTCCCATAATCACAATCTGTTTCTGTTTGTCAAATAAAATGTGAGAGGAGAAGAATCCATCCCTCTGTCTCTTTTGTTCTTGATTCTCTCAGGACCTGATGGAGTTCCTGAATGCTAACAGCACAGAGTGCTCTGTGGTCCTGTTCTTCACCGCCTGGTGCCAATTCTCAGCCAGCCTGGCACCTCACTTCAACGCCCTGCCCCGAGTCTTTCCCAGCATGCACTTCCTGGCACTGGATGCATCTCAGCACAGCAGGTGAATGGTCATGTTCTCCAGTGGTATTGTGTCTCATCCCTCCTTTTGTAAAATCCCACTTTAAAGGGGCATTAGGAGACTTGTGATTTTTATTATTTTTTGTGGCCTGTGGCTCAGGTAATGTTACCCTGTATGTGCTAGAAATATAACTCAGTGTCATTAGCAACGGAAACTAGCTTATTAGATTAGGTATCCATTAAAAAGTGTAGAGATATTGAAAGTATGCATGTGTGTCGGTTAGACTTGCACCGATTACAATTTTTTGGGCCGATACCGATTTCCGATTTGCAGAGTGTTTGGATGGCCGATTCCGATTTTATTTTTTTCAAACCACTTTACAGCACACAAGATATTGCAATATTTTCTATCTTTGCTTTAATAGAACATTTTAACCAAGATACAACCAGCTTTTCAATAATCATCTCAAACAAACAAACAAACAAACAAAAACAGTGACACAGGTTAAGAAACATTTTCCTTTTTGCTCAAATATAACTTCAGGTACAGTATTAAAATAAATAAGTAAAAAAGGCATACATAAATAAAAACATAGATAAATAAAATAATAATTCTTGGTGTATAGCATTTGTGGGTAATTTCTTGAATAGACAAAAAAGTAAAAATATCTCCTGTGGAAAATTTACACAGGTCTTCAGGACGCGGCCAGTAAGCACGCGGACACACTCCTCGTCAGTTTCAAGTGGCACAGTGCAGCAGTGAGAGCTCTGCAGTTCAGTTTAACACGGACAATTAACAACTTTCTCCTTCACTCTTTTGATGTGTGTGCAAATGATAAAGGTGAGAAGCAGCCCAGGTTTCACTTCCTGACATGGCCCAAGCAGTGAGTTGCACATGTGCGTGTGTGTGCACTGCTGATGTTACACGATGTCAATCATGTGGCGCTCCGGGAATTTGACCGGCATTTTAAATCGGCATATTTTAGACTGACCGGCCGGTCGCAGGTCTTGGCCAATCACGTGAAAACCTGCCCGATTGCAAGCACTGCCGATAAATTGGTGCAAGTCTAGTGTTGGTGCATGTGAGCAAAATTTCAAACTGTAAAATAAGGTTGTCTTCATGCTTTAGGGGGGTTAAAAATCGTATTTAAATCATCCATTATAGACTGTACATTTAGGCCAGTGGTTCCCGCCTTTTCAGCTTGTGACCCCCTGAAACAAAGCAATGTCTACTTGTGACCCCTCATCACAGGTCATGTGGGTTGTGAGCAGTTCAACAAAAGGCAAATGTTTTCCTTTTTGGATTCATGTAATTTTCTAGAGTACCCTAAGAGGTGAAAGTATTCCAGTTTTTGACAAGTTAAATGCAAAAAAATAGAATATTAATATATTATTAATATATAATAATTATTAAAATATAGAATATTCTGTAGCATCATTTGCTTTTTCCCTTGAACCATTTGGTGAACCTTCAGGTTTGTCTTGGTTGGGAACCATTGCCTTAGACAGTGCCTACATTTGTGCTTTGCCTAAAACAAATATCAGAACAAATGAAGGCGTTTTGTTTAGATCAGACCATATCCACAACTCAGGTGAATATCTAAAACTGAATTATCATATTTCATTTTTTTTGTCTTATCCATCTTCATCTTCCACCCACCAGCCTCTCCACCAGGTTTGGGACCGTGGCAGTGCCCAACATCTTGCTGTTCCAGGGGGCCAAACCCATGGCTCGCTTCAACCACACTGACAGAACGCTGGAGACACTCACCTCCTTCATCGCTAACCAAACAGGTACAAACTGAGTAGAAGCAGTCCCAAATAATGCAGTTAAAATAATACCTTTTGCTGCTAAACCTGGATATCTAACACCTGACTTCCTAGAATCCTCCACAAATCAGTAAATGATGATTAATCACAATAAAATATATCAAGCGTTTGTTTATATATTGTCACTTATATGGTTCTTGGTCTTTGGCTCGCTTTTGGAACAAGTAAAAATAGATTCTCTCGCATGTCTGTTTTTTGCTGGGGTTCATCAGTTGCCATCAAAAACGACCTTCATATGTATCCCATCCCTGCTCATCAATCCTGCTGCAGTTAGTGATGAAGTGTTAATGTGTTCCAGGGTTTGAAGTCAGCCCTGACAAAAACGTGACAGATTTAGACCGTCTCGGACCTCTCCCCAGCGTCCCGGTGAAGAGCATCGACTGGCTGCTGGTCTTCTCGGTCCTCTTCATCACAGGTTTCACCTTGTACGCCATCCTACGGACAGACAGCATCCGCTGGCTCATACCGGGACAGGAGCACGAGCATCAGGACTGAAAACAAACGGACTGCAAGACACTGGATGTAAACAATTATTTGATAAACCATTTCATTTCTTATTAAATTAACAGTTGCTAATTTGCCTTTATTGTAAGTGTTTGATGAACAAAATAAACTTATGTGAAACATTGTCATTTATAATGAAGATTAATGATGATTTGTAGCTGTTGATTAACATTTGAAGGAGTGAACAGGCATGTGTCTTCTGCGCTTTTTGTTAGATATTCCCTTGGTGAGGTAGGAACGGGGTCACAGAAACGCTGCAGTCCACTAATTTCATTCACTTTTTTAAACACAAGTTTTTCAACCTTTCTTGACGGTGAAATTAATCATATATAAATACTTAATTCAAGGTTGTTTTCAGGAGCAATATATGCATTAATATGCGACAGGAAATATCCTCCAGAGACCCTGTGTCCTCAAATGATGACATCGCATTTTGGGTTTATTTGACCTTATACTACTTCTACTGAACTCAGACTTGCTGTCCTCGTTTGTGGACTCTTATTTTTTTGTGCCATCCAGTGGTAGTAACACCATGATGCACTACTCCATGTAAAAACAAGATGGCAGCCATCTCTGCTAAGTCAGTGTGCAGCCGAAACCCAGACACAAACGTGGACAAGGCCCAAAACATGATCACGTTTTATGGTTGAAACTTGTTTATTTATGATTACTTATGTTTGTAGTTTGATATGGCAACAAAATAAACCAACTTTAGCAACAGGAACAAGCTAAGACACTCAATTCGGAAGTCCTCGCTTGAAGACATTGAGACTTAATTGTCGTGTTTGAGGTCACTGGGACTTAATTAGTGTTGACAATACTTAGTTTTTTTTATACTTATCAGGTCATATTGATATAGCTAGGAGGAATAGCTAGGAGGAAATTAAATATGCATACCAAACTAAAGTTCTGATCTCAGGAGGATATAATAAATAAGTAATTAGAAGACCTCCATTCATCACTGCATGAAACACACTTGGAGGAATACCTTTGCCATAACCAGACTCCCATTAAAAATGTTGGATTTTAATCAGGCAGGAAGCTGAACAGCCATGGTAAAGTGTGTGTGGACAGGAGGGGACACTCCTGAGCAGAAGAGGTGGCAGTGGAGAGGGATAACAGCTCACAAAACGCTGGTTATGTCTGGGTTAATGTTTACCCTGAGGACGAGCAGCTCATGGCCCTGCCACCGCCTGTTGAGGCTGAGCAGTCTGCTGCTGCCTCCGCTCTCCAGGAACCACTCGGCTAATATGGTGAGTGCTGCAGTGACAGTCTGTTAGCATTAGCATGGATAAACATATGAAGCTGGACTTATGTAGCCACGTTTGACAGTTATCTGATAAGACACACAGGAACTGCACAAACTTGAAGGCTCTGAAGTAGCAGGTGGCGATTGTCCCATGGAAGACGCGCCGTTGGCGTATGCAGAAATATGTACGCCAATCTCAATTCAAAATGCGCTTAATTAAATGTATTCATGCACATTCATAAAATGACACTCGTTTCAAGCAGCATTTTTGGCATTTACGGATTAGGTCACAGCCAGTCTTCTATTCGGCGTAAATAGTTTGATGTATATACCTCATTAGACAGTATTAGCTGAGATTATGTGTGCTCTTTCTCCCTCATGTGGGACTCCAATTCTGAGGATTTGCAGTGTCACAAAGTTGAATATTTCGACATTAAATTCTGATCTATAGATCATAAAGGTGCCGAATTGAAGAGTGGGTTATAAAAGGACAGACAAGCGTTATATTTTTTATAACTGTGAGTGTGAGGTTGCAAATAATTAAGCAAATATTAAACAGATCCTAAAATAATAATGAAGTTTGGTGTGTTCTTTTTTTAATGTACAGATGGAGAATTCACGCTCAGTGATTGCATTCATATTTCTGTGATATTTATATTTAACTGAATAACTCTTGTTCTCTTAATACATCCTGAGTATAACTTTATTTTTATGTGTGGCTATTGCTTCTTTGGTTGCTTGGCCAGCGTCAGTACTCATTATTGGTGCTATGCTGCCACCTTGTGGACGCAGCATTGATAGCACTCAGGTAACCACTACAATGAATTGGTCATCTGAATCACTTAAAACCTGTGGTGCCACAGTAGCAGCAATCTAAAGGCTCAATCAGCATGTCTAGATCAAGGTGGCATTTAGGCTAGAAGAGTGAGTGTGATGTTCTTAAATAATAAAAACAATACTGTTCCACAACTGAAACAAAAGCAGCATTTACTACAGCTTCTAGAGCACACTACAGCAGATTGAGAAAAGAGAATAAACACAATAACTGCTTATTCCAAGGTAATAACCTTAAAAAGAACAACGAAATTAAGTTGTACACGCTTTGAGTTTTGTTTGTGTTTGTCTCTAGTCGTCAGACTCCCACTGGCTCTCCCCGGCAGACCGGGATCAGCAGGTGATGGATCTCAGGGCCACAGGGTGGGTGGAGGTGGAGGACCGCGATGCCATCTTCAAAGAGCTTCACTTCAAAACCTTTAATCAGGTGTGTGTCTGTGTGTTTATATTTTGATGTACCTTCTGACAGGTTAGAGTCAGTGTTAATTCACGTCTGTAACATTTTTGTAAAGTGAGGTTATTTTATCACTCGATGCACAAGTATAGCAGGTCATTGTTTCAAATAGAAGTTATGTTGGTGTGATGTTGCTGCTCTAAAACAGAGCTGTCAGTATTGCTGCTGTCATTAGAAACATCAGTCTAGAGCTGGGTGTAAGTAGCTTAAAGATGAAGTAAATAAATTCTTGTCCCTTACATTATTGAGATTACAAGTCATATCTTAACACTGGGATCACAATATTGGACCAAAGCTGCATCACTGTGCAGCTGGTTAGAGTGCACATGGGCTTCTATTCGGTTTGTCATGAAAGAAAGAACACACACACACACACACACAAGCAGCTGACATCTGCTTCAGTCTCTAGGTTTTTATTCCAGACGGCCAGTAGAGTCTGCATTGAAACCCTTTTTTTTTTTGGGTAAAGAAAAGGGGTTCTGCTGTGGTCTTCAGGGGGCTGTTGTAAGCTGTCTGGAGGTTGTTTGATGGGGATCAGGACGCAGACCGCCAGACACACGACCGTCTCACTAACCATCGGAAACACAGATATTCATCTGTGTTTATACGCTGATTGGTTGCAGGTGCAGCAGGGGGCACCTTCTTTTTTGGTTCCTACCTGCAAAGACTGGACGTGAACAACCTGTTTATGAGGCTTATCCTGGGTCTGATTAAATTCAGTATATGGTGTTTACATGCTCAAACACATACATGGGATACTTCAAAAACCCAAATATAAACGGGTTATTCATGTCTGTGTTAACGCATTTACCGGTGACTCCTGCAAAGTTGTTGTTTATGAGAGAGGGCAATATTCTTACTCATTGTCTTTGTCAATGGGGCAAGCATGTTGCTCTAAGACGGAACATGCTGTGCTCCACATGCATAACTGGAAATGATTGAAAGCCATAATAAAATAGTACACGTGAAGCTTGTGGCTATGAGTCAATAGTCAACTAGTGTTTAGTTAAAGCTGTGCTTGTTTAAAGCACCTGGACAACCCAAAGGGGCAGGTTCGTCACATGTAGGGCTGGGCCTCCTCTCGTGTTTTTCTATACTGGTGCCAATACAATACTGATACTGTGAGTTATGGTCCAGTAAAGAAGAACAAGTACATTCTGAAAATATTCATATGAGAAATAAGTGCAAATTTAACAATAATTCTCATCTTTTCAACAATCACTGAGTCTACTACTCACTGTTATAGTAGTGAGGCGCTGGCATCACCACACCAAACTTAATAGAGAACTGTATTCTGGTCACAGCGGAAAAGCCTCTGAAGCAGAATTTTACAACCCCAATACCAAAAAAGTTGTGAAATTGTTTAAAATGTATGTAAAAACATAAAACAATGATTTGCAAATCATTTGGACCTAAATTCAATTGATTACAGAACAAAGACAACATATTATTATTTCCATATTGGAAGCTTTTTTTAGATAAATATTCACTCATTCTGAATTTGATGCCCGCAACACGTTCCTAAAACGTTGGGACAGTCAGGGGCACAGCTGTGTTACATCACCTTTTCTTTCAGCAACACTCAGTAAGTGTTTGGGGACTGAGGACACGTATTGTTGAAGTTCTGGAAGTAACTTTTTTATTCTATGCAACTTTAGTTGCTCAACTGTCCGGGGTCTCCGTTGCTGATTTTGCACTTTATAATGTGCCACACATGTGCAGTGGGAGTCAGGTTTGGACTGCAGTCTGTGATCCACACTCTTTTACGATGAAGCCACACTGTTAGAACGCTTGCAGAATGTGTCTCATTGTCTCACTGGAATAAGCAGGGACATCCCTGTAAAAGATGTCATCTAGATGGCAGCATGTTGCTCCAAAACCTTTATGTACCTTTCAGCATTCATGGTGCCTTCACAGATGTGCAGGTTACCCATGATGCTATGGGCAGTAACAAGCCCCCCACACCATCACAGATGCTGGCTTTGAACTTTGTGCTGGTAGCAATCTGGATGGTCCTTTTCGTTTTTAGCCCTGAGGACACGTCAGTGATTTCCGAAAAAAGATTTTTGAACTTGTCAGACTACAGCACATTTTTCGTTGGTGCAGTGTTGTTGATATTTGGCTTTTGCTCTGCATGTAGAGCCTTATTTGCATTTGTAGATACAGCGACAAACTGTATTTACCGATGATGATTTTCCAAAGTGCTCCCGAGCCCATGTAGCAGTGTCCTTAACGCAATTATGTCAGTTTTTAATGCAGCACCATCAGAGGGGTCAAAGGTCACAAGCATTAGATGTCGGTTTTCAGCCATGCCCCTTACATCCACAGATTTCTCTGGATTCTCTGAATCTTTTGATGATATTATGAACTGTAAATGGCGAAATCACTAAATTCCTTGCAACTGTGTGCTAAGAAAGGTCGTTGTCAAACTGTAGGATGGTTTGCCCTCAGTTTTTCACAAAGTTAACATTCTTGCTTGCGAACAACAAAGCCCTCCTTGCCCTCTTGCTCCTTGTCCAATCTTTTTTTTGTTTAAGGCATCAAATTTAGAATAAGTGCATATTTCACAAGCAACAATACAGTTTATCAGCTTGTACATGGGCTATCTTGTCTCTGTACTGTATTAAATTGAATATAGGTCAAAAGAGATTTGCAAATCATTGCATTCTGTTTTTATTTACGTTTTACACAACGTCCCAACTTTTTTGGAATTGGGGTTGCACATGACGTAGGCTTCTCACTGTTAAACATGTTCCTGAAACCTGGCACTCTTTTAGCCTTCACAAGTGCATTGTTATTAGGTGTGCAAAGCCATCCAGTGGGCCTGATTGGACCCTTTGTTGAGCCAGTTCTGGCCCACGGGCCGCATGTTTGACACCCCTGGTTTCGGAGATGTCAGTCATTTTGGTATCTAGTGTTGCTGAGGTCGTTGCCTCATGTGCAATTGGACATAATGTCGAGGACACTACATCAATTATTTGAATTATAGAAACAAAAGTGAAACAATAATTGAAGCGCTATAAAAAATAGATACAAATTGTGTGTGTTTTTAGTTGGTTTATATTTTATGATGTCCTGTTCTGAGGAATTGTGATAGAACTTTTGAAGTCTTAAAGTCTTTGAACAACAATCTGCACTTGCGTACAACTCACAGAAGTTTCTGCAATAAAGAAAATATGTAGCATTTCTGTAAAATAGACAACAATCAAGGTTCATGTACTCGCTTTTTCTGGAGATTTCAACTGTATCCCACAGCCCTCTAACAAATGGAACTTGCTCAGGTGTTATTGTGACCCCAGTACACAGTTGGGTCACCTGATAACAAGTGGTAATATGAAGTCCTAGAAAAGAAACAGGTGCTGCGATCTTCCCTTCATTTACAGCCAACTGTTAAAGCCATGGGATATGATTGAAAGCTCCAGAAAATAAGCCAGTAAGTGGACCTTGAGATCAGTATATTTTACCGCACATCAGAGTTCACACAGATATGTATTTGTACTGTGTTTTTGTTGTGAAAAGGATTTTTCATGAGGACATTTTTCAGGGTCGACCTGCCTCGAGTAGCTCTGCAAACAACTTGAAGTGTTTAATGTAACGTGCTTGTTGTACCAGACAGGTGCGGTTTATCACAGCACAGGAAGCAGGAAAATATTACTTTCCCTTTTTTAGTGACTGTCTCAATAATATCACACTAAAAAAGAAACACTAAAAGTTATGTATGAATGTTTTTTGGCAGAGCATCGCGAGGCAGCTTGCTGCTTTGCCTCAGCCCTGTGTTGGGTGAAGTAAACTACAACATCTCAAGGCCACTTAGCGGACTTCCTCTAATCCTGTCGTTAGTTGTTTTAGCCCCTAAAATAGTCTGTTTTTACACTTCCCCGTGTTTGAAGTCGGGGGGCGAGCACTGACCTCCCCCATCTGCTCCTTCTGGCTCTAAAGCCTCTCCTCTTACCCCGACACGTCAGGCTGCATTACCCTGAGACACGCCAGGCGGCCAGTTGGCAGCAATTGGGGTTTCGATCAGAATGATTTCTTTCACAAACAATCAAATTGGTTAAAATGTTTCATCTGGTTCACAAACCACTAACAACCCCATCATTTCTTCTGGTAGATGTGCGTTGCTTTCTGTTTTTTTCTGTCATGCTTGTTGCCACCCTCCTTTCCCCATCTCTGTCTTTGTCTGTGTCTCATTCCCACTCTGTGCCCCATGTTATTGGGGAATGAGCTCATGTTGTTCCAATTTTACATGTTGGCAACTCTCTCCGTCTGTCCTTCTTTTTTGCTCTCTTTTATTCTCTCTCCAGCCACCCCTCCAGTTCTCTGATGCATTTTCGCAAACTCTCTAGCTCGTTTTTCATGGCTGTTCTTAAAGGGCTTTTACCAGAGGGGAATGGAGATGAGGAGCGACACGCTGGCTGATTTCCATTCGCCACTTATCTGCGAGTGATGGGCTTGAGGAAATCAGATCCCCGAGAGTTTATAATGAGAATAACAAATCCCCTCTCTGTGAGTTAAAAGACTTTGTCTTGTGGTCTCTAGGGGGCGGTAGAGGTGTGTCTATGACTGTGTAAATCCACAGTGGCAGTCCGTTGAAGTGGAGCTGAATAGTTGAGGCACAGAGCCACTCATGGCTGCAAATGAATTCAAAAAGAACATGACAGCTGGATTTGCTTTCTTTTTTTTTTAACTTTATTTTTCTTTGATTAGGGCAAGTGGAAAGTGTTATGATGCTGTTGCAGCTCGGTAATTTATCTGCGGCATGTGGGCAAACTGTGCGTAGATAGTGGCAGTAGTCTGAGAAGTGACTGTGAGTTATTTTCCTCATCAAGTCCGGTGACGTTTAATCAGGTTTGAGAGGTGAAATCCTCTGTCTGGAGTTGCTTTGGTCAGTGAGAATCCCTGCAATCATATGTGGAAACATCTGTGTGTGTGTCTTTAATACTGTAAATTTTGGTTGGAAATTGTGCTTGTTT